TCTGCATAGAAGCCTTCAAGACAACCACCTTGAGCAGACATAAATTTAATTAAAGGTTGTAGCAGAAGCTCTTGAAAGTAGTTATGAAGGATTTCAAGCCATTTCTAAGGAACAACATAACAAATGGACGAATTCATCCCAATTTTTCCCCTGCAAATCATCACAAGGAATCATAAATATCATAAACTATGTCTATGCATAAGCATAAAATTAGCATAACCTCATAGAAACCACTACGAATATAACATACTGAAGTGAACATAAACTTTGAAATTAAGACAACAGCATTGACCGCAACGTGTTGAACAAATTGATTTTCAACAGCTAACAAATTCACCTGCCACATAAAAATACAAATCATATTCAAAAGAAATTCAGCATCACAATGCACATCAAAACAGAAGGGAAAAGAGGAAAGAAACCAGTTGAAACATTTTGTCGAACACGTGATGCGCGAGTTGCAAAACGGTAGTAACAGCGACAATTATCCGTCAATTCACACACCGCAAATGATCACTAATCAACAATGCCAACAGTACAACAACTCAGCACATGAAGTGAAAGAATTGAAGCAAAAAGAATCAAGAGATACGGTTGAGGAGTTTTATCGAACACCTTGCGGGCAAGACCAAAAGCTGTATTTTTCGGCATTTTTAATATGCTAGCATTCCTCCATTTAGCTTCATAATATTGTATGCTAGTGTTAACTTAATTTAGAATCAATACCGGGAAGAAAAAAACAGAGAAACCAATTGAAATTGTTATCAACATGAACCGTGAAGCTTACCGTAAAAATGCACCAAACCATAAACATTCTGAAACAAAGAAGTTCTGAACCAAAATCATAACGCGACTGAATCAATGCAGTGAGATTACAAATCACGTTTGGGTTTGCGAAAAAGTTGTCCGACTGCAAACTAAAAAGTGAAAGAGTTGTCGTCTTGTTCATCGTATTGAGGGAGAGAAGAGTTCCATGAAAGTGATTCGAGGCGGCCGAGCCTGGGCAGCTGCCTTAGCTGGCCGGACGCTGGCTCCGCCAGTGTAGACTGGTAATAAAGTTGTTGTATATTGGAGATAGAAATTGGGATATATATATATATATATATAATAGTCGTTGTATATATTATGGATATAGAAATTGGGTTTAAAACTATGTAATCTAAATCATATAGTAAGACAAAGTTTTCTGTTTTTTATTAATTTAAATTATATAACAAAGAAAAGTTTCAGGATTTTATTAATCTAAAATATATAGCAAAGGCCGGAAAGCAAAGTTTCTATTTTTTTATTATATATGGTGATGCACAGTAACGATGCTTGGTAGCCTATATGTAATATACAACAACATATTCATATATTTTGGATTTAGATATGCTACATATTTAATGTTTCTTATAATGTTTTTATAAATTCAATAATTTTTGTTTAGAATTGTGTTTTGTTAATATTTTTGTAATATATTTTGTATTTTTAAATTTTTATTGATATTAGATATGGCATCACCCGCTGAAGTAATAACTTCGGAAGAAGTTACATCTCAAAATCCAACCCAACTCCAGAGCAGTAGGGGAAAAACTGATATAACTTGGGGTCATTGTAAACAAATTAAAGAGAAAGAAAAACTTGTTAATTTGTGTATTTACTGTGATAAAATTATTAGAGGAGGGGGAATTAATAAGTTTAAATTCTATTTTGCTGGAATAAAAGGTCAATTTGAAACATGTAAAAAGGTGCCTCCAGATGTTCAATATCAAATGAAACAAAATCTTGATGAAGGTGTAAATAAGAGAAGAAAGACTCAAGCACAAAATTTTGATGTTGATCTTACTACTCAAGAGGGTGGTGTAGTAGAAATGAATATAGAACAATCAAGATCAAATTCGGTGATTGTGTCTCAAAAGAGAAAGAATACTAGTCGTATTGATAATTATTTTATGCCTAGAACAACTCCTGGAGCTCAACCTTCTTTAAAAAAAGTGTGTTACAAAGTAAGGAATTGATGGAGAAGTGTGATCTATCTATTGCAAGATGGTTCATTGATTCTTCTGTGCCATTCAATGCAGCTAATTCTGCGTATTTTCAATCTATGGCTGATATACTTTGCAACATGAGTCTGGGGTATAAAGTTCCAACTATGCATAGTCTTCGTGGCTATTTGTTAAATAAATGGGTTGAAGATGTGAACAAATTGATAGAGGAGTATCGTGAGATTTGGAAGAAAACTGGTTGTACTCTAATGGCCGATGGATGGACTGATCGAAAAAGAAGAACTCTTATAAACGTTCTAGTTTATTGTCCCAAAGGTACTATTTTTCTAAAATCCGTTGATGCTTCTCATGCTTCAAAAACTGCAGATATGTTGTATAAGCTTTTTAGAGAGGTGGTTTTATTTGTTGGGCCTGGAAATGTAGTTCACATAGTGACAGATAATGCTGCAAATTATATTGCTGTTGGAAGGTTATTAGAAAATGAGTTTCCTACTTTATTTTGGTCTCCTTGTGCGGCACATTGCATTAACTTGATGTTGCAAGACATGGGAAAATTAGAGGAAGTAAGTGAGACAGTGTCACATGCTTCTAATGTTACCAAATATATTTATAACCATTGCTATGCATTGTATTTAATGAGAAAGCAAACAGGTGGAAGAGAAATCCTTCGTCCTGCTCCAACTCGGTTTGCCACTAATTTTATTGCTTTGCAAAGTATTTTGTCTCACAAAAACTCACTAAGAGCCATGGTAACATCTAAAGAATGGACAAGCTCATCATATGCCAAAGAAGCAAAGGCAAAACAGTTTGTGGATCAAGTTTTAGATTCTGGATTTTGGAGTAAATGTGCTGATGTAGTTAAACTCACTGAACCACTTGTGCGTGTGTTACGTATTGTTGATAGTGAAGATAAACCTGCTATGGGCATTCTATACAAATCTATAGTCAAAGCTAGAGAGGAGATGGTGAGGAGGTTTCAAAGAAATAAGAAGAAAGTGGATCCTTACTTGAAAATCTTAGATAAACGTTGGGATTCACAGCTCCGCAAAAATCTTCATGCTGTCGGTTATTGGTTGAATCCAGCTTGTAGATATAATGATGTAAAATTTGAAAAACATTCATCCACAACATCAGGATTTTTAGATGTCATTGAAAAGCATGCTAATGGAAATTCTGAACTTCGATTGAAGTTAACAGATGAGATGAGAATATTTAAAGACGGTGAATTAGATTTTGGAAGGAAATCAGCCGTGGATGAACGATGTATTGTGAGGGCAGGTAATTTCATAACTTCTAACTCTTGATATATATTTTATTTTATATTTCAATATGTTTATAAATTTATTTAATCACATGGTATAAACAGATCAATAGTGGGAAACTTATGGCACTTCTACACCAACTTTGCAAAGGTTAGCTATTCGTATTTTAAGTCAAACTTGTAGTGCTTCGGGTTGCGAACGCAATTGGAGTATATTTGAGCATATTCATTCCAAAAAAAGAAATAGATTGGAGCACCAAAAGCTTAATGATTTAGTGTTTGTTCGTTACAACTTGAGACTTCAAAATAGGTATTATTATGGTTATTTTTCTCTGATCATTATATTTTTATATTTAAATACATATACTTAGATTTAATTCATGTGTGCTTAGGAAAATAAGAAATGGGAGTTATGATCCTATCAATATTGAAACAATTGCCGACCATTTTAGTTAGGTATTAGAGGATTCACCACCTCTCTTAACCAATGAAGAGTTGGAAGCATTGCAGAATGACCTTGCAAATATGACCATCCAACCAATTTCAAGTGATATTGGTATGTTCTAATATGAGCATAATATAGTTTGTGGTTGTGAATCAATTTAATGTCTCATATTTACCATCTGTAAATTTTTTTTGTTAATTATTTTTTAAAATATTGTTATAGATCAAATAGATTTAGATGAGGATGAAGATTGAGATATGGGTAATGCACAAGATACTATTGTTGATACTGTGAATCAAGAGAAAAGCAACACCAGAGAAGATGAAGTTGGTGGAGAAGACAATGAAGTTGAAGATGAATATGAATATCAAGATTATGACAATTTGACTTCACGGACATAAAAAATTATGGATCGTTGAATATAGATTTTTGTGACTTATTATAATACTATAACTTATGAATTGTTAAGTTTTTATCACTTCTTTGAATTTATAATTTGCTACATTAAGTTTCTATCACTTATTTTGATTGTTACTAATACTTTTGTTTATTCTAAATTATTTGAATTTATAATTTTCTATATTATTATAGTTACAAATTTCAGGTAATGAATATATTTTTTATAGAAATCGGGTCAAAAGCCATGCGGTCTGACCAGTGACCCACTGGTCCGACCAGTAACTCAATGACCCAGTAACTTTACCGAGTCGATCACCGGTCTGAGTTTTAAAATATTGCTCTCCACATCTCAAAAGAAATAGAGAACATAATTACCGATATTTTTATGATATGCATGTCAAATTGTATAAAATATATATCACACGTTTATATATATATATATATATATATATATATATATATATATATATATATATATATATATATATATATATATATATATATATATATATATATATATATATATATATATATATATATATATATATATATATATATATATATATATATATATATATATATATATATTATAATCGCTATTTCTTTTGAGAAATAGAGAAAATTTCAACTGGTAATTTTTATCAATAAGTATTCCTTTATTGACTCAACATTTATAGACAAAGTAGTTGGGCTATCAAAATAAATTAGTAGTCAATTATCTAAGTGGAAATCAGTCGGAAGCCACACACTTTACAATCCCAATATTTCATCCACAAAAGTTATATCACTAAGTCATAAGTCAAAGTCTTCTCATTACTCTCTCCCTCCAATAAAGGAAGAGAAGCTAAACAAAACAGAAAATAGTATCAAAGAATCTTCACATATTGTTTTTGAAAGTTTAAGAAACATGGAAAGTGAAAACAATCTCAAGCAGAAGCAGAAGCTAGAGGTATTTGAAATACTCAAGGAAGCTCTTACCATTTATGTTAAAAATCTCAACTTTATCTTCTTCACCTTTCTTACTTCTCTTCCTCTCTTTTGCATAATGGTTTACTTTGAAATTCAGCTTCAAGAAACCTTAATTGAAATTTTTTATATTTTTGTTAATATTTCAAAGGAGGATGTCCTCTTTGGATACTTTGATTCCATGCTAGATCTAATGAGTAGGGAGTATTATTACCTTATGTTTATTCAACTTGGTTTAATTTACATATTTCCTCTCCATGTTCTTGAGTTTGTAACTGCAATTGTTACTATAAATTTAGCTTCAAAGCAAAGTTTACAACATGAGAATAATATGACTCTTAAGGAGATGTTTCATAAATCTCTTGATTCATCAAAATTGAGAGGCTCATTTCACACTTTTATCTATGTTGTTTTCTTGACAGCCACTCACCAAGTTGGATTATTAGGTATAGTAATAAACTACTTTTTGTTCTCAAAGCATTTGAGTTTTGTGGTTTTTACTGTGATTTGCAGCTTGTTGTTTGTAATGGTGTTAAAGATGTATTTGGAATGGATTTCTACGTGGAACATGAGTCTTGTTGTTTCTGTATTGGAGGGTATTTATGGTATTGATTCATTAGTACTCTCAGTTAATTTTAGTAGAGGGTGTCACAGAAATGGGCTATTTATTATGTTGATTTTCTTTGCATGGGGGCATTTTTTGAGATTTTCTTGCTACTATATTGGAGGCTATGAACAAGGATACGGAACTTTCATACAAGTTGGTTTGTTCTGCATGGTGATTCCATTCAAATGGGTGGTTTTTATGATCCATTACCATGATTGTAAAGAGAGATATTTGGTAAAGAAAACAGATGAGGAATTAGGGAAAGATGTTAGAGTGCTTCAGAAGTAAGTTTGAGGGAGTTTTCTGGTTATGCAGCCTATTTAGTATGATTAAATAAAAAATGCTATCAACTAATAATATTATGTGATTAGTGAATACATCAGCAATAAAACTTGTGATTCCCTAAAGTGTATATATCAACTAAAAAAACCTTTTAAATTTATTAGACAGATTTTTTAAGAAAAAATAATAATTTTCTTATTATTATTATTATTATTATTTATAAGGACGTTGAGCGATCATCCGAACAGCGCCATAGGCCTTTCGAAGAAACACCATAGATCGTCTAGAATGTTCCATAAGTCGTCTAGATTAGGTGTCACTCGGATTGGCTCCATCATCCATCTGTTCAAATGTGGTTGGGGGCGTGCCTCTGCATAAATTGGCGGAAGAAGTCGGTCAATAAAAGAACATTGTCTCCCATAATTCAAGGAAGAAACAAGTCCTCTCTACTCTACGTTTATGGTGGGTGGCTAGAGTAAAACATGAAAGTAGAAAAAAAAAATGAAGTTTGAATTGAGTTTTCAAAATTTTTTTGCTTAGAAGTGTTTCACACAAACGATCAAGATAGACAAGGTAAGAAAGAAAAGAGACACAATCAGTTTATACAAGTTTACCTTAAACAAAGTTACTCTTGTTCATCCGTCAAGGTGATTTCGTCTTCAAAAATGACTTAATCCACTAATCTTGAAAGATTACAAACAAATGTCTAAGACTTTAGAAAAACATCTCATCTCTCTCAAGTATACAGACTATCACTTAGTCATTTGAGGAAAATAAATCTCAAAAGATTTATAATAGAAAGTATTTACAATAGTGTGCTTCTAGAAAAGCTGATTTAACATTACAATAAAAAATAAATGATTACACACAAATATGAGCAACAACTATTTGTATTTTGATTGAGAATAAATGTTAACACAAAAATGAGCAACAACTCTTTATGTTTTGATTTTCTCTTAGAAGAATATTTCTCACGTAAATTTCTTTGCACAGTCCCTCCTTTTCAAACTTTGTTCCAATTTATTTTTTCAATCTTCTTGATTGTTGAATCCTTTTTTTCTTCAATAGAATAGTCATCCTTTTATATAGACTTCAAAAAGTACACCATTGAGAAGGACAAAACGCCACTTTCATTTTCCAGCTGCCATAACAGTAGCATGAGATCATGGGAGACAAGAGCATAATAAATCTTTGGTCGTACATACATTTTCACCATAGTGGGATAGGTACTGTATTTGTATCGTTGCTGGATTTGGGGATGATTGGTGTTTGGTCTTGAATTTATGGATTTCTGAGGGTTGGGGTTCATTAGGGTTCTTGTTTAGGGTTAGGGGTTCATCAGGGTTAGGTTAGGGGTTCATCAAGGTTAGGTTAAGGTTTATCACGATTGTTTGGTTTCTTAGTTTTGGGTAAGGTTAGGGTTCTTCATGAACTCTTAGGAATCTTAGGGTTCTTAGAGTTCATATGAACCTAGACGGCGGTGGGATTTGAAGGTGGCGGTGTCTTGGTGCAGACGTCGGTGAAAGCAATTTTTGGCCGGTGGCGCCCAAGGCGGAGGCGATTTCAGTGACGAAAATCTAGAGAGAAGTCAGAGCTTCTCTCTCTAAGCCTCCAACGACCATTTTTGTTTTGTGAAGAAAGAGGAAAAAGAAGAAAAATGGGCCTTCAGCCCAGAAGCATGTTTTTATAATACCCCATAATCTAATGCTTACGGTCCCACACCCTTATCATACGGCCTTGTTATAAGTCCACATGATCATCATCAAACGTTTCAGAAACGCGCATCCACCATAATGATCGTGTGCCCTACCGCATGGATTCCAAACGGACTCCCAAATGTTTATAAATTTTGGGCCAGGCTCATTGCTAATCACGCCTTATGTTTTTATGTTTTTACTACAACCTTACGAAATTGTACCCCTACGTACCAATGGATCAAGCCCCAACATCTGGACTTAGACCCTTGCTAAACCAGACCCCCCACTTTTACTGCCCTGTATAATTATTCACCCCCTCCTACGTTTGGACTTGAATTCAATATCTGAATTCAGGGCTCT